AATTCGAGATATCTGATAAAAAAATTCAGGATAGATATTTGAACTACATGAAAATTCAGAAAGTTTACTTAAACAATTCTTTACTCCGGGATAAGCGGTAAAATTTGGAATGTTGTATATGTCAAAATCACAATGTAAAATTTTCAAAGAGGTTTGATTCATGAGCATTTTAAGTATTTCTCGTATTGTAACCAAATTTTGATTATTGTCAAGTGTTTTTGGAGTAGAAAGTTGTTGAAATCTTGCTAATGCATTACAAATAACAGTAATATCAAGCCTTTTGATAAAAGCTACATAATTAAACAATGGAGCTCTTGAAGTTGAGGTTGAAATTATGATCCCATTCTTATATAAAATTGCTTTGGATTTCTTTGGAAGACAATTTATTAAAGTTTTAAAATTTTGCATGTCTCTCCATAAAATTCGAACAGAAGCTTCACACCAAAGACGGTTCACAAACAAATATGAGCGTATATCATTTTCGTCCAAATATTCAAAAATTTCATTAAGGCAATCAGCCGGAAGATACAAAGTCATTTTTTTTTTTTTTTTTTTTTTTTTTTTTTAAAAAAAAAAAAAGGGAAAAAATGTTTGTGGGAAAAAAAAAAATGAAAATTGAACATTTTTATAGTACAGCCTGCCGATCATTTGCCGCCGATCAAAATTTTGTGAATATGTTGGTCTTCTCCATCCATTCTAAAGTTTTATTTTTTTATAAAAAGAAAAATTTGCAATAGTCGAGTAGAACTATATATATATAATGATCATAGATAAGGCAATTGAATTTATAGTCAACTTGTTACAAAATACTGTGGTTCTATTACTTATCATTCCGGAATAAAAGATTAATTCCAATTCCTAGTTTCAAGGATAATTCATTGTGCTTGAGGTTAACAAATCCTTCATAACCAGTTTAATAATTCGTTACAACTAAAACTAAATAATAAATTTCTAATATCATCTTGATTCAAAGGTCCATATTAGTAATATTTGGTCGTTACGATTATGCGTTAATTTGGAGAAACAATTATTGTGCTTCGAAAATTGAATAAAAAAAAAAAAATTTAATTTTTTTTTATTGGTGCAGTAACTTTATTTTTAGGAAGGTCCGAGGCGTCGGAATTAAAATACCTTGCATCAAAAAGGTCGTACCTAATTTGATACAGGTGATTATGTTTTTTCCTATATATCTAAGTAATAACCTGATATGCGTATATGTTTTTTATTATTAACTAATAAGTTAGTAACATTATGAAAAACGCCAAATGCACTAATTACTATAATTGTCGGACCGGCTTTTGTTCTTCTGTTTAATTTTTGCCTCACTGCTAATATCCAACGAACCTCATTGAAAATTTAGGTATAAATATATTAGTGATAAAATGAAAAATAATTTTATTTTAATTTTTTTTTTTAAAAATCACGTCATATTATCATGTCAAAAAAATTATAAAATTTTTTTCTTCTGATCATCACCCGAAAAATATAAATAAATTATTATTTTATTCTTTCACCAACATTGTCACTGCTGCTGCAACTCTAAAAATATATATTTATTATTTCTTCCTTACCTGTGCCTACAATCAACTTTGGATGGTGGAAGTTTTAGCTGCTCATATAAAAATTATTGCTTATGGAGCTGAGATAAAGGAATTATGGGATCTAGTTTACATTATTTTTCAATTTTACATTTTATTGGTGATTAAAGCAGTTACGTGTCACAACTTTAAAACAAGGCTTTTAAAAAGTTGATTCTAATGATGAATTTTTCATTTTATTTCTAGATCAGAAGTGAATCACATCTTTTAATGGGTATTGTGTATGTTGGTAATGTGTGCGAATGGTTAGCTGTTTTCTTAAAATTATACAACTGGTGTCCAAATGATTTCTTGAATGAAAGTAAATCTAGATGTGAATTTTCGCACTTGCTTAAGAATAATTATAGGTATAAATACTGCTTTATTCTTTAATTGGTCAATACAGCTATCGCGAGCTTAATTATACTTTTTATTCAAAGTATTAACACTATAACACCCGAATTCGAATACAATGATGTTTAATAAGCTAGTATTATCCTTTTTGCTGCGTGAATTTAATAAATTAAAAATACATTTACTTATAGTTTACTCATTTGTATATTCTCAATCGGGTCGGGTGCAGTAGGAACAATATTTAGATCACTGTTCGGTATAGATAATCCATAAGCTTTACGAATAATCAACGGTTAATAGTAGTTGCTGACATTTTAGGTCATCTGCTCCTAAATTTTGTTTATTAAATTTTCCGCCTAATTAATTTATTTTATTCAATTTTAAAGTAAATCTTCGTGTCGTGTCTTCTATTTGAAATTATTATTGTACAGTACCAATTATTTTTATACTTTTTTGAGGTCGATACCTGATGCGTTTAATCATATTTAACTTGATGTCTTCTTTAGTACAAACATATTCCCTATTCGCTTATTTGCACGAATATTGTGCTATTAACACCGACGTAACCATACCGTAAGACTTTATACAACTACGTCCATGATTTCCTCTTTTTGTATCCCTACTTTTTTTCTGCCTCGTTATGAATTTTTAATTTTTCTCATGAAATATTTTTCGCGCGATCTTCTTTAATTTTTCTTCCCAAAGCATTGCCAATTTTCAGATCTTCTTAACATGATTCGTAGACGTTTCAATAAAAGTTCAGCAAATAATAAAAGGTCCTTCTCTAAGAACGTTTCTGCACAAATAAGAAAAGAAAGTAGGTTTTGACATTTGATCTTCAGGTAAAGAGGAATTTCTCATCGTGCAGTATATAGTTAATACAGTATATTGGACTGATATTGTTATGCTGACATTGGGTTCATACAGCATATAGCAACTCATAACAGCAATGGTTCAAGAGAATATCGAAATGAAGACACGAGAACTTAATCTAAAAAGAAAATGGTTCACAAAATTTCACAATAATAATCATGGTTTCACAATTTTTCATTAAAAATTTTTTGTTCTTTTTACTATCCTTGAACTGATAAGTTTGATGCATTTGGGCGTATTTTATAATTTGGTCAGACAGTTTCGTAAATGCAAGAAAAAAAAAAAAAAAAAAAAACTTTAGCTCAATTATCAATTTTAATTGTTTTAAAAAAATTAAGATCTTACCAAAGGGTTTAATTAATTTACGAAACCGATGCATCATCCTACAAAAAAAAAATGTAATAAATTTCAAAAAATATTTCATTTATTAAGATATTACGATTGTTGTAATTATTCCTTCGTGTGCGTACCATTGTTTATTCAATTATTATTCAATGCAAAAAAAAAGGAGAAAAGAGAAATAATTATTTTGGCTAATTTATAATTCTTATTATTTTAAAGTACATACCATTACGTGTTGATTCATCAACTCCTATGACGCTTAACTATTTAGGCCACGTAAATTAGCGTTTTCGGTTCACGATACATTAAAATTTTAGGGACTCGGGGTTTATTATTTATTAATAAAAAAATGTTATTAAATTTTTAAGGAGTAATTGATTATAATCGGATGGGCATTTTCCATATTGTGAAGTAAATCAAGAAAGGAGAACTAATTTGATTATAAGTCAATAAAGAGTTAATATCATAATTACCGTAGTGTTATCTCGAGTATATGAAAACCGGTATAATATGATTCGCTTAATAAAAATGCGCGAGATCCTCGATGGGGTTAGTTATTGAAATGATTACGTAATTTTGATCTCCTTAAATGGAATTGATGACAAGGTTAAAATTAAATGGCGTCATTTCTGTGCACATGGGCGTGTGATTTTCTGAATAAAAATGCACGTGTAATCAGTTTATTTATTTCTCTCTCTCTAAAAATCAGTCTTCTTCGCAGTTAATACAATAATTTATTTCACATAATATTGTTTCGAGAATTTTACTCGCATGTTCGTAAAGAAAAACGTACATAATCTGTGATTGCATCTTTTCATGTTTAGTTTATTAAAAAGTCCTCCCATCAGAAATATCACTCAACACAAAGGTTATTTGTTTCTGATTCAAGGGTACGGTAAAACACAAAGATATCCTTTATTGTGGACGAGAGTGGGTTTAATATTAGTTGATATCATGAATCTATGAATGACAAGCAATTTGAAGTATCGGACTATTACTTTAGGTGGGTGTCATTTGAATTTGTCACTTGTCTGTTATTAACTTTGTGGGGTCTAGGGGTGCATAGTAAAAGCACTGTCATGCCCTAAGTCTTGGTGGCGTCTCTTGGTGGGATTATCCTCTTGAGACTGTGTATTCCTATGTGCCCAATTTCTCTGAAGCACGAGAGTAAGCCTTAGCAGGGTAATACTATTTCTATGGCAACTGTTTGAGATGTCAGACTCTCTTTTGATCGAATCTGGTCTGACCCTACACCACCTTCTCCTTTTTTTTTCACTTAGAACGTCGTTTTGGTTTCGTCCATTAGAATTTAACCATAAATACAGCGGAGTTACTTAGTTTCGATATTTAGCCGCAAAAAAAAATATATGCAAATATTCATGATAGGCAGCATGTTAAAAGAATCAACAACGTGGAATTACTTATTAATTTATTTAGTCACAAGATACAAGAAATGGAAAAGCCGAGCGATGATGGGGAGCGTCACAAACCTTGAGGATGTGTTCAGAGCAACGGCATTACGTGTCAAGCCTGGATATGGATGGATCATGGAAAAAAATTGAATAGAATGGTTCATCGCACTATGATTATCGAATTATGATATCATCAGCCTGCAATCCAGAGCGTACTAATTGACACGATTTTCAATCAAACTTGGTATTTCTAGATTTTTGAGGTAAGAAAACCTGCATTTAATGTAATTTTAATTAGTTTGTTTTCATTAGTCATATCAGTTAATTATTGTATTCATTAAATAAAGCTTTCAAAAAAGTTGATCAGTCCCGATTTCCAATTGAAATTTTTTTATTTGTAAATTCTTTACTTATACCCATAAAAATAGGTATTGCAATTTTTAGATGTTAATTATCTTGATAAATAGATATTTTTCTTTCGAAAACAAAAAGCAAACTTGATTTAAATTCGGGAACACTGTAGACGGAAATGTAGAGGTTGGAACCGGCCGAAAATTCTTTAACCGGTTAATAATCGGTTAAAATATTTGGTAACCGGTTAATTAACCGGTTAAAATTAACTTTGGCCAGTTTTATAAATTTGGCCAGAGTTAGACAATATTTTGCAATCATTTAAATCTTAATTCTGGCCGGAAATTGAATTTCGGCCGGATTTAAATTCATCTATTTTAACCGGTTAAAAAAAAATCTTTAACCGGTT